TGTCTGTGTCCTTTTTCTATTCTTTAGAATAGTTTTAGTATAGCATTCTGAAATATAATTTCATATCATAAAATACTAAATTAGCCTTCTAAGAACATGGAGTCAGATTCATCATTTCCTTTCTGCTACAGGGGAACCTGGAAACTCCACAATGTTTGTACTCCCAAGTCAGTTTTATGTGATGGAGCCCTGCTTTCCTATGGATGGCTGAACACCTGCCTGCCCATGGCAAGTGGTGAATGAACTCCTTGTTTTACTGTGCTTGCATGCCTGGCTTGTTTTTGACTGGTTAAGCTGTCTCTATCTCAGCCTGTGGGTGTTCTCACTTTTGTTCTTCCAAGTCTTTCCCCCATCCCAACATGGAGGCAGTGAGCTAACAGCTGGGCTGCTGGCTGAGGTCAAACCACAACATTTTTCTTTTCCCTTTTTTTTTAAGGAAAAAAAAATCCAAAAAACAACTGCATTTTATGGAGAGGGTTAAGTTTCATGAGTCTATTAAAAAAAGCAAATGAAAACCAAGAAGTGACATTTCATAGGTCACCTGCATGGCTGGAACATGCTAAAGCCATTATGTGGATGTTTGCCACCAGACCTAACAGGGTAACTAATAAGAGGAGCAGCTTACCCTTTTTGTGTACGAAATGTTACTAGGCTTACTCAGCTGGTGCATTTCATAAATATTTGCTGATAGCTTTAGGCAAATGCTACAGTAAGCATCACTTTGAAGCATTTTAAGTGGATGTTCTGGTGGCTGCACATCTCAAATCCTGTAATAAAGCCAAAACATATTGCATAGAAAATTGGTGTGTTCATAACTTTTATACTCCTCTTCCCTTTTATGTATCTCTGCTTCTGCAGCTCCAGCTTCACAAGGAGCACATCAGAAGGTGCCTTTTTTGTGCTTTTCGGTTTGTATGCATCTCTTTCAGGTTCTTCTTCTCAGTCCTTGTTCAAGATTTTTCTTATCACTTCCTTCTCTTTCCTGCCCTATGGCCTTGTGCAACTATTGTTTCAAACTTCAGACAAGAACCTAATCTTATGCTTTCTCAATTACTACTCTCCCCCACTCTGTATTTATGAAATTTTCTGTATTTACCAGCTCCATGGGTCTTTCCTGAGTTAGGAAAAACTTCCATTTTTCACACCAGCTACCAATCCTATTTTTCTTCTGATAGCTCCCGCCCAAATCCCCTTTTTGTTTACAACAATGACTTTTTTCTCTTTATCACCCAAAGGGCTGTGGGACATTTTGCAAAATTCAGCTTTTCCAAATGAGGCTGTTATTCTCCCTTACATTAGGATATTAATTTCTCAAACGTCTTGAAGATGCAGATAATTGAAGAAAATCCCCAGTAAGCGTACTCTTGTTTTCTTTTTATCCCATATATTGTATTTCTGCTAGGTACAGTGATATTACTTGTCACAGACATATTTTCTGAAAAATCCTTTCACTGGGGTTTTTCTCCTGAGAAGCTGAGAGGCCTCAGAAACTAAATGTAAACAATAATTATCTGCTGCTGTGGAATGTGGTGAGTGCATCTTTGATTGGTCTCAGGTGGTTGTTTTTAATTGATGACCAATCACAAGTCCAGCTGTGTCAGGAACTCTGGGCAGTCACAAGATTTTACTATGCATTCTTTTCTAGCCTTCTGATAGCTCCTTTCTCTTTTCTTTAGTGTAGTTTTAGTATATACTTTTAATATAATATATATCATAAAATAATCGGCCTTCTGAAACATGGAGTCAAGATTCTCATCTCTTCCCTCATCCTGAGGACCTGCAAACACCGCCACAATTACTTGTGAAGCAAGTAGCAGCTTGACAAGTTTGAATCAACTGGTGTAAATGTATGGCTTGTTTCTGCTATTCTGTTTCATATGTCAGCACATATGATGTGTCAGCATCCAAAAGGGTATCTTTTTTTCCTTCTTGTTTATTCTTTTTGCTAAATGTGGAGGATTGCCAGCAGCAGGTCCCTATTTGCTGGCATTAGGAGGACAGGCTCAGCAGGGCTGGGAGGCTGAGGCAGCTTTCCTGTGCATTTCCAATTCATCCCAGCAGGTTGTCTCTCTGTGGCAGGATGACACACAAAGTGCACTGTGCGATTGTGGTGCATTCTGCTCTACAGATGGAAAAGAGAGTACTTGTGTCTGTACTTCAGATCTAGAGCTAGACAGAGCCTGCCTCCAGTCTTTTATCCTTGCATATATTGTGAGCAATCTTGAGTGTACAGCACAATCTAGCAGGTGCTCTTTCCCAGCTGAAGTTCCCACGACTTATTCTGAAAATCAAAAAGAAAACCTGTGCACACACTGACAAAAGAGTGAGATCCTAAGAGTCAGAGCAGATGAAATTGCTACTTCTGAAGTTGCCATACCAGACTGGGTTCTGTTTTGCTTGGCACATCTATTATTGATATGCTTGCTGTGCTGATGTTGTTCATGTAAATACAGGAATGAATTGTACTGAGGTATCAGAATTGCTGGTATCTGCCCTACTTTGATGATGAATAAATGAAAGCACTGATTTCTGTTAGTGCTAAAGAAGGGCTAAATGATTCACTCACATATACATGTACTTTTACAATTTCTGTAAATTTTTAACTATCACAATATGGTTAATTTTTTTAGACAGAGGGCTTCTTAATCAACACTCCTAAACTATCAAATGATGAATGATATTTTATTACAACAGATTGTATTTCTTAGAGAGTGATAGTGTTATGCAGGCTTTTTAAATTTCCAGTGAATAGTTGCACGTCTTTGTGACCTGTTAATGCACACCAGCTCAGAGCCAAATAGCCACTAGCTATTCAGAGAGAGTGAGTGACATTTCTGAGTTCTCTTGTTTTCTCCTACAGTCATATTTCCAGAAGTGACATCAATTAACACATCAAACATTTCCTCTTAAAGATTTTTTCATTTGTACTGAAACCCTTTTAATTTCAAGGTATAAATGTTTTTCCTAGTTTTCATATGATGTTTAGAAAAATGTATGTATTAATACATGAATTACACTGGTATAACAATCCAAAATTAAGGGGGTTTTATGTATTTATATGTTCTATATATTCTCCCATATAAGATTCATCCCTTTTCTTAGCATTTACTTGCCTGTGATTTGGATAAAAAGCTCATGTTACCTCCCCAAATCTGCTGATTAGCAAAGAGCATGTAATTATCTCCTGGAGGGGGGGAGGAAAGAAGTTACTTGATCTTTAATATATTGGTGTTCTGACAGATTTAAAAAAAAATTGTAAGTTTGAAAGGTTACTTTCAGACATAATTAACCAGAACTTAGACTTTTCCCTGCTATTAAAATATAGGTACCTACTGTCCAGGGTTAGAAAACAGTTATTTCTATGATTTACTGCATGTTCATTACTGAAATGTGATCCTGTGGTCTCATTTTTCGGTGAAGGTGTATAGGAGGTGACTGAGCTTTAGAGGTGAGAGCAGGATATTCCATTCAAAAGGTAAGTGGGGGTTCAGCAGAGTGATAAGATAAATATTCTTGCTGGTAACAGCAGGAAATGCTCTTTGATGTGTTCTCTGGCAGTTCAGTACAAATGGACCTGTCATGAATGCTGATGGAATTGAAAACTAACTAGAGGAGTCAGCCTTGAGAACTTATCTCCTTACAATCCTGTTTTGGCATTAGAAGTATAGCATTTTATAAATAAGGAAATAAGTCAGACAATCCAAACTTATATTACCAGTGTATACTATGAGTAATTTTCAGAAAATGCTATTAAGATCTATCAGGAAGAAATATTTATCTTTAAAGGCAAAAGTCCTTGAGCTTTTTGAATAGTGAAATTGTAATCCAGCCAGAAACTAATTTTTCAGAAGGTATATTGTTTTCAGAGAGGACAAGAAATTAAGATTCACATTTCTCATAAAAATCTAAAGATTTATTAGAGCCTAATATTTCATTAGCATTGTCCGTTGGGGTAGAGCATTTAAAATAAACAGATACACAATTTTTTTGATGTCAGCTTGGTAAAATAAGTTGAGAGACTTTAATTTTCTATACTGTAATATTGAACTCCATGTAATTTCCTGGTATTTCACAACTTGTATTGAGTATCTTCGTATGCTATGCTCATCCAAGTAGATTTCCCAATTTATGAAATATATTAGGAAATATATTATTCCTCTCCTCACATAGACCAAGGGATTTTGCCCCACACCATGATATATGTGCTTCAGCCAAGAGGAAGCCAAACCTAGTAGATAAATGAAAAATTAGGTGCCTTGTTGTAGCTGAAATTATTCTTCAACCTCCAAAACATTGTGGCCTTTAAATGTTAAAAGGGGATTTATAAGAAAGATGGGAATGGGTGTTTGAGCAGGGCCTGTTGTAATAGGACACATTGTAATGTTTTCAGACTAATAGAGGGTTGGTTTAGACTAGGTATAAGGATGAAATTTTTGCAATGGGGGTGAGGCAAATGGCACACTTTGCTCAAGGAGGTTGTAGATGCCCTGCTCCTGGAAAAATTCAAGGTCAGGCTGGACATGGCTCTGAAGAAATGACCTTGCTCCTTGTAGGGTGTTGGATGAGGTGACCTTTAAATATTCTGTGATTCCATCCAAATACAAATGTAGGCTTGAGTGAGAGCAATATACTTTACATTCCGTGCAGAATACATTATTTTTATTTATGTGTTTTCCTGGCTGCATAACCATACAAATGGAATGGCTTGGAATAATTCATTTGAAGGATAACATATATACACCATCTCTAATTTATAAATGATAACATTGTACAAATAGCAAAAACCAAGCCACTTGCAGTAAAAATTGAACCTGGAAATAAAATAGATGGACTCTCATCCTTGGGGAGAAGTTTGGGTCCCATGAATGCTCTACTGCTTGAGAATATTTTACTAGAGATAGAAATTATCCTTGCCAGGGAAGCATCACAAGATCAGAGTTTTTAGATTTTATAAAATTCCATGTTGCAGGGAGGGACAAGAAGATAGTGAAGTGAATTTCAGTAATTCTTGAAATAACCACTGCTTCTAAATGGAAGTGTTTTAAAGAAGATTAAGAGGCTGCTCCTGGTTGCCAAATGTGAGCTATCCTGAGGTACAAGTGCTACTGACCTACACAGCAGCAACAGGTAGCCTTGGGTTTAATGTTCACTTGGGAAAGAGAACTTCCATAGGGGGAATATGGTTCTGGGTTTGAAATTCGCAGATGTTGAAGACAAATTGCCTTCATCAACCAGTAATTTTGATAATTTTTTTTTTGTTTTGTTTTCCCATGGTTACGTGGGTCACACTTTAATTGTAGTGGCTGGAATTATGATGGTTATTAGAAAACAGAGTTTCTTCTACCACACTACAGGATTTTTTGGGTTGGTATTTTGGCTCTGAAATGATTCAGGGTATTAAATAGATGCCGCCTAAGACATCTATTCTGAAGAAAAAGTATTGAAATATGGAAAACAATGATAATAAAGGGGAAAAGATTTAGCAGTTCTTTCTACTTCAGTGAGGGTTTCAGAACTAATTTCTCCTTTTTTTCATTGAATGAGTAGAATTGGTTGGAGGAGGGATTGAGCAAATAAAAGTTTAGAGTTTTTCTAATAACAAACTCATGTGTCAGCAGTTCTGAATGATGACAGTTTTACACAGCTAGATATTTTAATGTAGCACTCTTAATACAGCTAATGTTCTCCTGACTATGGAGAAGTTGGAGGAAAAAGCTTTCCTCTATCAATTTGTCACAGTGCTTTGCCAGAAGGAATCTACTTAATTATATCTTAATTTGTAGCTTTAATAAATGCCGTGAAATTGCCTTTTTTTTTTGGCAAGACAGTACTCAGTATAATCTAAAAAAATTGAGTTGCAACATGCATGATACTAAATTTATTTTTTAAAAAAGATTTTGTTAGAAAATAATGCATGATGCTAAATCTATGCTTTAAAAAACTGCTCTAAAGAAACTCTAAGGAGTTTGTAGTCTAAAGATTAAGTTTCACGTGCAGATTAAAGTTTGGCCACATGTCAATTACGAAAAAATTCAGATCACCTTCAAAAAGTCAGAATAAAACCCAAATTGTTACCTTACAAAACAAAATAAAACCAATGAAAATAGAAAGAAACTAAATAAAACCAATAGATTTTTCATATCCTTAATAATTTTAGTTATATATCTATTTAATTGCACATCCTCATAAAAACAGTTTTATAATATTGCTTTGTAACTGTGTACTTTCTATGATTTTACAAGATGTAAATTGTTTTAGGAATTGTTTTTTTATAACTATTGATTCCAAAAATATTTCTCTTATTGTTTCTTATACTCTTTTTAGGGGGGTGGAATGCAACGAACTTAAGGTAAGTTAATGTAATTGAAATCAGTTCATGTTAACTTTTTCAGTATAAGAGAAATAGGAAGCATAAGCAAGACTAACTTATAGCAATCTGTTATTTTCATCTATCAACACATACTCCACAAAAAGGCATTGAAGCACCAGAATTTATTTGCAGGCAAAGTAAAATTATTCTTCTGATTGATATTTGCCATTTCCTGTTACTCTCTGATGAAAGAAAATATAGTTCCTTGCTATACAAAATCTGTAATATTCATTCATAGTATAAATGGCTCCCAAATGATTATTTAAGCCAAACAAGGTTTCATTGTCACCAGGGAGTGTCAAGCAAGGTCTTGGGATTTGCATAATAATTGGTTTGAAACAAGTGATATTCCATACAGAACTATGTATACAGAGAGTAATGAATATGGTAGCCACAGTCTGTGAGATCAGTATCAGCACCATAATGAAAACTGAATATTTTTCAGTCTTTGGAGGTTTTCAAACATCCATAAAGCTAATGAGCTAATTTAGATAAGCATTAAACATGAATTTAATCACATTACTGGTAATTATTAGCAGACACACAATATGAAGGCCTTACAATTTCCTTCAAAAGTTGTAATTAACCATAAAAAAATAAATTGTTTGACCTAATGTACTGCATATAAATGAGTCAACTAAATACTTTTTGATTTAACAGAATGCTTAGCTTAGAGTCATTTTTCCTTATGTATTTTTCAGCTGAAAGTTCAAGTGTGTTTTTTGCCACACATTAGCTTAAGAGCAAGAGCTCATATGACTGCAGATGTTACTCACTGAAATAAAAACCTATTTCCTAAACAAACACAGCATAACTTTATCTGATCTATGGCCTCCTTCCTATGCTGGGCGTGAGTTAGCAGGTAAGAACCTGCTGCCAGTAATCTCCCCACCTCCTGGGAAATACTTAAAGTTAAGCATGTGAGCAAAAGTCCTGTGTTTTAGAATAAAAACTGCATTCAAACAAGATTTGGAGTTCTGCTTGGCAAGCATGGGCAGGAGCATCTGACCCAAAAGTCTTGAGAGAGACAAAAAAAATTTTCTCCCTGGCAGCCTACAGCTATGTTCCCAAAGCATTTCAGTGATAGAAGGCAATGCCTGGAGCATAAAAATAAGTTTATATATAATTTTTTTAAAAAGTATTTTGAAATACAGTTTCCAGCTCTAGAAATGTGTGACCAGATAAATATTTTTAGTTTGTGCTGAAGTAAAACAGCTCTTTCCCAAAGGCTTAAAGCTGGTGTGTATAGAGTCTGGTCCCTGAAGTTATGGTTCTGGAAAGAAATGCTTAATAATCTGATTTCAAATAATGGTAGAGAACTGTTTTTTGAAAGCTGGCAAATGACTGTGACTCCTCAATTTCTCTCAGGCAGAAGGAGAGGGCTTTCTTATTTAACAGAGTGGTGAACTCATCTACTTTTTCATTTTTCAATGGACCATTGCTCAATAACACATCTTCCATGCCTTTACTCATGTTACTCAGAAGTTAAACTTTTTCAGCAATATTGAAAAATGGAGATTTAGATGAAAAGAGATAAAAGGCCTTTTTTCCAATGGATTATCACTGATATGAAATTATTATCTTTTCAGAGGCTTGTAGAAATCCATATTTTTCACTGTAAAATTGGCAGAGAAACCATTTTCTGTGTAATAAATTTTCAGTAAAAAATGTTCAGCCACCTCTCTGCCTAGCCATGCTAGCTATGCTCTCTGTGCCTCTGATTAAGCTGAAGCCTTTTCTGGGCTCCTACAGGTCAGCTCTCAACCTAGAATGTTCTTTTGCTCACAATGATGTGGGTAGAGAGGAATCAAGCCACTTTTTTCTGTCTGAGAAATGAAGAACAAAATGTGCCATGCTTAAATCTCATGTGGGATTTTTATGAAAACTCCCTTCCAGCACCCAAGCCCCACAATATTTGGCCTAGGAACAAGAAGAATTCCTCAGATGGAGGAGTAGTTAATGAGCTGTAGGGATACAGACATCAGCAATCACCAGGTGTAGGTGCCTCTGTTGGGTGAAACTCTCCTGCTCCTTTCAGCTCTTTCTCCTTCCTCTCCTTCACCCAACTGCTCCTCACTCTACTTGAGAACATTTTCCTCTCCTTCCACCTCTCCCTTCCCCTGATATAGTCACAGTTTCTTCTTTTGTTCTTCTTCCAGCTGGGTAATCCTTGCTAAATAGAGCACTCCTGAAATATTGTGGAGCTGTGATGACTCCTGCAATTGCATTCCTCAGTTTATTTATGTTATACATCTTTCTCCCATGATATGTTTATGTAGGCAGCTACAACAGTGGAACACTATCTATAGACTAATTAGAATTTACTATAATAAACACAGCTATGAATCACGACTTTCATTATTTCCTGCTCTAATAAACTGTTGATATAATCCAGGACAATGACAAGGAAATGACCATTAACAACAAATATTTGGTATTTACTAATTAATTAAAGCTGCTCATTAATTTTTTTGAAGGATAAGGATTCAAGAAAGAGGCCATTCATGTAATTTACTGTAAATGGAAACCAAAATATCTTCTCTTGGAATTAAAATTTTCATGAAATTTTGCATATTGCATTTAGGACCTTGTGGGTGGAAAGCTACAGCTGTTTGAAGAATAAACTTCCTCATTTCTTTCTCAGTCGGAGCACTCAGAAGCTGTATGGTGTATATGTGAAATTGCATTAGGCAAATTAAAAAAACATGTTTTCTTTTGCACACTGACTTCATGGAAAGAATACTTCTTATGTTTTTGTGCTTTGTCTACAGCAAATGGAGCTGTGACATTATCTCCATGTCTCACCTTGATGTCTCTTAGTTCTGTTGTGTTTACCTAATATAACACAAAAATAAAATATATCAGCTTCTTGCAAGAATAGAAAATTGGACTGAGAAAAGGTTTTTAATTTTAATTGCCTCAGGCACAGCTTGAGTTAAGTGACTCCCATGCCTATGAAACTGATTTCTGCAGCCCATCTCCTGGAATGTCTTCACACAAATACTCCTGTCTTCTTTTGCTGATGTCTTTCCCTGTCTGTTTTTGTAATACTCTAATTGCACCTGGGCATTCTCCTCCTATTGTTTCACTGTGTCAAAATTGAGTATGAGACATTTCTAGCTGTTTAAAAACTCAGGTTTAATTAACATATGATGCTGTCTTACCTCTTTCAGAGTCTTTATCAGGAGCCTAAAGCATTTCACGTCCTGTGTTGATGAAATTTTCCCTAATTTTGATATATACTGGGAAAGCATGACATGTAATGAGAACATGTGGTGATAAGAAAGAGGATATTAGAAAAAACAGCTTTCATAAGAACTCTGGGATTTTCCCTGGTTATGACAGGGATTGTCTCTCATGGTGTTGAAGGGCTGCTTGTTGGTGCTGAGGAGGTGGTGGAACTGCACAGCCACTTCCCAGGGCTGTGGTGGAAAATGTACTTTGGACAGAGCAGTTCTTACTCAGACACTGGGGCTCCACTGCCTGATTTATGTCTGGGAATCTGGGCTTTTGGAGCATGAAAACAAATTTTCTTGAGCTATGTTGAATGTACTGAATCTGTATCTTTAATAAAAAGGTTGTTATTAAGGAATATCCTTTCAGGATATTATTTTATAGCAATGTTAATATATTAATATATAGTAATAATAATACTGGATAACAATATATTAAGACTATAACTTCAGGAATATTGTCCCAAACTAAGAAAACTATTTTTGAAACCAAAATAATCAAAACATAACCACAATGGGTGTCAGCAGAAGAAATACTGAGTTTTGTTAGTGTTTCTTTTTGTTATAAATTATTCCATGCCTACCATATCACGTTTCCAATTTTCCAGAGCCAAAAGTCTGACTTTTGTAAAATGCATTTTGAAGCTTATTTGTGTTTGGTCTCTCTGAGTTCAAAATTATCTTTTCAAGGTGAATGAATCCATACCTAAATTTTATAAGTAGTACAGTTCCAATATGCTTTTGGAATATGATATTTTTTTAAGTCCTTCATGGTGGGACTAGGGCATTCTCTTAGATCATGGCAGAGGAACCAGTGCACTTCCAACTGCATTTGAGATTTTTTTTTTGTAGAAGTTAACTACTAAATTTTATTACTTGCAACTGTCGTTTTTAAGCTTAGTTTTTTATAAGCAAGGAACAGGTATATTCATCATTAATCTGACAGAGATGCATTAATTTATGTCTCATGATAATCCAAAAAATTAAGGTAGCCTCTCTTTTTTACCCCCTAGGAAAGGTACTTGAAAAATTATAGTAATTATTTTTGTCTCAGTGAATCAGAATGCATTATAATAGATAGAAGAAATATTCCTATACCATGCTTGCCATCCTCCTCTTTTTATCTTTGCATTTTCAAATAACAGGAAGAAAAAAACCTAAACAAGAATAACGAAAACCAGTGTAATTTTGACCTACGTAGCTCCTTCAGTCAGTCATTTCTTTTTAAAAAAAAAACACACTAAATGAGAAAAAAATGATGTGCCTGTATGCCTGTGGAAGCAGAGGGCTCCAGTGGGATCTTGTTCATTCTGTGAGTTTTTGTGACCTCTGGATGAGCAGTGCGCTGCGCATGAATATGTACCAGCCAGGCAGATGTTACACTTACTGACCTTCACTCACTGAAACTGATAATCAGTTTGGCTGTCATTCATTGTCCTTTTGAGGCTTTCTGGCAGCAAATGAATGCCAAGGAGACATATTTGATCCTGTAGGTCCTGCCAGAAATTAGGTTTGGACTTGGATATTTTGAAATGAATCTGAGTCGAGTTTGACAACAAAGGGAAGGCTGCTGCAGTAACATGTGCAGGTGATGCACTTCTCAATCTGTTTGTATTCTCCAGACAGGGAGAGATCAGGGCCCTTTCCTGCCTTTTATTCAGCTGTGGATATCAAGGCCGAATACACAGTAATGTCAAAACATATAATTTATTTATTTATGCAGACAAACTGCTACTGAAGTTGCACCTGTGTAACCTAATGAATGGGGCATCAGTGTTTGAGTTAATAACAGGCAAAGAATTAATTACCAGCAGCAGAAGTCTTCAGCTTTGTAATTTGGAAATTAGAATGGGGTGAGGACACACATTAAATATTAAGATTATGGTTTTTTTACACAGCTAATAGCGTCTTGCATACTGTAGTTGCCCCCTGCATAAATAATGTTTTATTAAAAAGCAAATTTTGTACATTTTTAATAATTTTTGGTTTTTTTGCCCCCCTACTATTTCAATGGTTTTCAGAGGCTCTGCATAAGTAGATGAGGATGAGCAATCCATGTGCTGGATAGAAGGAATGTGGCAACAGAAGAATACCAAGGTTTAAGAATCAGAACATATGAGTATTTGTATGGCTTCAGAAGCTGCAGTGGAACACAGGCCTGCCAGGCTTCACAACCATCCAGAAACTCAGAAAAGGTAAATATACTGAATGTGCTTTTCAAGTGGGGGGAAAAAATAAAGAAACTTAATTAGTAGTAATCAACAAAGATTGTGCTGTTACATACTGGAATTTAGACTCTAGGGCTGTAATTGCAGCTTTCAGCTGAGGAGCATCCAGGGCAGCTCATCAGCAATGTCAGCTTGGTCCTTTTTCAGGCTGCAGTTTTTATGTGCTGATCTATTCTTCTGCCATAACTGTACTTATCCAGAGGGCTGTGATGAACAGGAAAGAAACCCTGGACCAGCAACCCCTTCCCTCTGCCTCTATTTGCTCCAAGGAGAGGAATCAGAAACTGATATTCTCTCAGGAATATGAGGGTGATCCCTTGATTATTTTAGCCTTCAATTGCCTTTCCATTAGCAGTTGTGTTCCACTAAAACACAGGTGTGAGGAAAAAATGCACAATCCTGTTCCTAAATCCTTCAGTGAGCTCCTAGGGCAGTAGAAGTCCTTAATGGCTTTGCTTCCCAGCTGACCTCTCAGTGTTCCAGGGCCTTTGGGGTGTTGCTGGCCCTGCTGTACGAGGTTTGCACCTGGAGCTGAGCCAGGGCTGAGCCACATCTGCACTCAGCAGTGACCTGGGCTGTTCATAGCACAGCTCACAATTTTCATGGAGGAGCTCGAGTTTTTTGAGCACTCTCCAGCCATGCAAGTTCCCATGCCATTCACTAACCCAGGCTGTTTCTTATTCCAGAGCTTTTAGCCTCTGTTTCCGTGTCACTGCTGAGTGCAGATGTGATCCGTGCTGGTTAAAGGGGTGTTCAGAAAGATGAAAGGAAATGGCTTTTAGACAAGGGTGAAAGAGTATCTCACTTGTATCCATGAATGTGTTTTTCACTTTGAGAATTTATATGGTAATTTAAGAAAAAAGAAAAAACCAAACCTTACTGAAGATTTTTAAGATTTGTAAAGATATGTTGTTAATAATATATATGTTTTCACTGTTACTACACTATCCATAATTCCATGTGGGTGTAACCAAGTAAATTTTCTTTTAAACTTTCAATTTTCTTTTCAACCATTTTTCAACGATTTTCGACCATTTTCTATTAAACCCAGCAATCACATGTAAGAAGTTCCATTTCCCCATTGACTTTCCTGCTTTTCCAATTGTGAGTTTCAGCTGTAAAAATCTGCAGTCTTAATGGCAACTAAAATCTGATCAGCAGCACAAAACCACCCTAGAGTGATACAAAACCACTGAATCCTTTGAATCTTGTCCTGCCTGAGACCTTAATCCTGGCTTCAGAATGAACACTTTTTAAAATATGGAAGACAATTCAATCTCTGAAAAACTGTTATCTTAGGGATTTCTATAACTCAGGTTCTCAGTTCCAAAGGAAAAACAGGAAAACATTTCTGACTCTGTGCAGGTGAAAATTAGGAGGCAGGTAGGGTGATAAGAGGAGAGTCTAAATTTGCAGTTTAGGGAATTTTCCAGGTTATTTGGCTTAGGAAAAAAAAAAAAAAAAACAAAACCATAAATCCCTGTGTATGTTTATTCTCCCTGTATTTTCTTTTTCAGGGTGACATTTAGTGTTGGTCACAAATGTGAGCAGAAGTTTGCTTTGTTTGGTTTATTTTGTCTGGAAAAAAGCACTAGTTGGCTTGTGCTTTACCAGAAAACTGTTATTGTTGTGCTTACACGTGCAAGTAAATAAGATATAAAGTGGCATAATGGTATCCATTCAGCCAAGTCCTGTTTGTTGAACCGACCACCATTAGTGGCTGTGAATGGGTCTCATTGTGCTGGTGTCAATGAGGTTGTGCTTAGTCCTGTGAACTTGAGAACAGTTGGTTATGGCTGAGAAAAAGGCTAAATAATAGGATTTGAAATAGTGTTTTGCAATTACCAAGGCATTGTTACTGAATATTTGTTTTACTCTGCAGAGAGGGACTTTGTGTCCAAGCAGAGATCCTCAAAACTGAATGTGCAGGACTGTTTCAGTCTGAGTCTGGGAGATTTGTAGGCAATTCTGTGGTGCTGTATGATGTTCTATTTCCAAATTCATGGTTCTCTGTCTTTATTGGACTGCATGTTTTTAATGTAGCCAGGTCTCCTCCAATATGAGTAACTCCTTTATTTGCACTCTCCCATTGCACAGATCCCAAATATCTTTAACACTGCCAAAGTGGTATGAACATAGTTAAGAAGAGGAAGCCTCAGCTCTTCTGCTGAGGAATGATGATTAAAGAGATGGTTTTTTTTATTTCAATTATTAGATGGACACAGAAATCACTGTCCCATAAACATGTGGCATTAATGCAGTGGTGCCCAGTATGCAGTATATCCCTTTGGTGGATGAAAAGCTGTTTTCTTGCTGGGGCTTTAGGAAGTGATGGGAAGGAGGAATTGGTTCACTTGAGGTGCTGGAGACTGAGCCTCAGAAGTAAAGTCATTCATCCTGCCTAGAAGGTGATCCTGGCCTCGAGACTCTCATCATTTGTTTGGCTTTTCAGTGGCCTGGCTGTTCCCTAGAGGTAGATCAGGGCAAAGGGAGGAGCTCAGAGTCTGCAGTTTTTGTGTCTGCTACTGTGCAGACAATGCAAACAACTGCATTGCAGTAAAGAGGGATGGGATGGCAGGGAACTGTACCCTGGAGTGCCTCTTCCTCTCTCTGCTGGACTGAAGAATATCATTGGCATGTACATTTCCCTTTGTTATCACTGGCATGCTGGTCATACTTAAATGTATCATAATCCACTGAAATAAGTTGTTGTGTGTTTCATTACCAATTATTGGGTGATGGGAAGCAAAGGATTATAAGAGAATTTGGAAAGGATATCAATTTTGAAAGGCAAAGAGGAAGGCTACAGAAGGAAAATGTAAACAGATTTACAGAATAACTCCCTCACCTGGTGTTACTAATGAAAAATATCAATACACCAGGAAAGGTAATTTGGTACATTGGTATGGGAACCAATGTCCTTTGTTTCAGTACAAATTGCATTCTGGACACAGCAGAAACCTATGGGAAGGTGAAAATCTCCTATTTCCTGGCATCTGTGAGATTTAGTAGAAAATACTGTTGAGGACAAGATAGGACTGTAATCACCACAACACACCAGCGTCACAACAACCTAGAAAAAGACTAATTTCAGTACCTATGTGCTGAAAAACACAGCCCTGCTTAAATAGAAGATCGTAGTCATGTGAATGTACAGGGAGCAATTCTTTTTTGTCAGCTGTGTTGGTCTCTCAGCCTAAAGGCACCTGCTGAGCTATTCCCACTCTCATTTCAATCCAGAAAATTCACAGGTGGTTCATGTTAGATTATGGGGACCTTCATGGCCATCATTTTGATGTTACTACTCCTCTGCTCACTGTATTTCAGTTCTTTGATCAGGGGATTGGTTTTCCTTATAGTCACAGATGGTTGCTGTTTGACAGGCTGACAGGCAGACAAAGTAAATAGGCATGAAAAGAAAATATTCCTTTGTTTTGGTGAGTCAGGCCAATGTCATGTGGGTAGACACTGCTCTGGGAGAGGGTATTGTGTGTGTAATGTCACATAGGAATCTTGCATCTTTCTTTCCTGGACTGTCTTGTCGAGAATTTGATCAACAAATCTGAGCTTACAATGACATTTCACTGTTACCTTTTCAATTAAGGTGGTAAGCATTGCCATCACAGAGCAATGTGGAATTTGGAGGGGTTAGTCTGGAAAAATCCCATCTGGCAAAGATGTACCTGATCCTGCATATCAATAGAAGTTTTGAGCAGAGATCAATAGCACAATGAAATGCTACATAATTATTGTGTGTCTGTGCCTGTATCTACTTGCCTGCATTCAAAAAGAAATAAAACACTCAAAAAAAGCCCAATCAAACAAAACAACACTTCAGGTCACCAGAGACACATCTCCTGATATAGCATTAAATTAGTTACCCAGGCAGTGTAAATGCTTTTATGAAATATTTCTATATTCTGAAAAGAGAAATCTAATAAATCAATACTGATTTTGAAATTGATTAAATACTTTGGATTAAGGACTGTTGCACAGCATTTGTGGCAACTCCTGATGTGACATCTGGTCAGTGAATTCTCCTGGGGTAATTTTGTGGGATTGGAAACCTGGTTTTCCATAAAGAAATTGTTACTGACCTATTGATGTGATGTGACATTGCTTCCTTCTTTGGCAGCTTGGGCAGTAGCAGAGAGAATTGGTCCCATCAGCCCTTACACTGATCTGCTGCCAGGTAAACAAGAAAAAGAATCAGATAGGGAACAAGCTGGCTGCCCCCTCTCTCCCCTCAAACCAAAGCAAAAAAAAAAAAGAGAAATTAATGATGTCATCTTTTTCTCATTGTTTATCAATTCAATTGAATCTGAAGCTGTACTTTTTGTCATCACCTTTAGTTTTATTTTAAAAAATGAAGCTACCAATGAAATGAATTTTGCTTTATTGGTATGTTACCTGGTAGAAAACCAACTCTTAATATTCAGTACTTAAAATAAATTATTTGGTTATTGTAAATAGTTGAAAGAAAGCTCCATTACCAGAGACCTTTCTATACAGTTTTTTCTTTTCTGTGTCTTGAACAGTTTGGCTGGATCAGGTTTAGCTGGTCAATTAAGATAAATAGTGGTTTGCTAAGCATGTACTGTTGAAAAGGAAAATCCAGCATGTTATTCCTAAGGGCATGGGGGAAAAAGAAATGTTGATTTTTTTTTTTTTTCTTTATTATTTCATCCATTCTGGAACCTAGTGGTATTCAGGTCATAGTTTCATATTAGGACCTTTGAGAGAGTTCTTGCTACAAAGACTGCGTCTCCCATCAGCCCAAAATTAATAGGGTAAAACACACTTTGGGGCTGGCTTCAGATGCTCATCTTCTGCCCATGGAAAGCTTGATGGTGGGGCAGGCACCCAAGAATTTCAGAACTTTGGTGATATAGGAGGAACCCTAGACCAGCCAGGAGTTCTGGCCACCAGTTTTGGGATAGATATTTTGGTTCACTTTGGTAGCTTGGATTTGGTAATCTCAGTTTCCAGGGATTATTTGCATTAATTGTGGTGTCTCCACCTACTGAAAATGACTCACTTATTTTTAAGGAAAATATTTTAAACCATCAATTTCTTAAAAAATGGTAGATATTGTGATTTTAAAATAGAATTTGCTTTGTTCCATAGGTATACAATTGCAAGAGATTATGCTGTAGCAAGAAAAAGAGTAGGTGAGACTTTGAAACCTATGTATTCAGATATTTTCCTAAAATTCCTACTATTCCTAAAATACTAATTTACAATCTGTGTAAATCAACACTGTAAATTTGTATCAATAACTTACCCTGAGTTGGGTAAACACAGTTGTGTAAATTTCTGTAGTATGCTACAACTATCAAAGGAAACAAGCATAAATATAGAAATAAAAAAGATATTTTCACAAACAAAATTACTTGGTGGTTGTTTACTGATGCTTTCTCAGATTGAGATAAATTAAGGTCAGAAGAGAAAGAACACAAAAAAATCTCATGCAGAAATAACAAGCAATAGTATTTTAAAAGCATTCAAAATTATATATGGAATGAATGTATTGAATTTTAAGGATAAGTTCCTGGATATTTGAAGTGGACGCTAATGATACAATTTTTTTTGATACTGAGTATTAAAAAAAGCTAAAGATGTTTCTGTGTAGCATTTGAGTACCTGAAATAATGATTGATTACGACTTATAGAATCTGCCCTGGAAACATTTTCCTTTTCAGTTGTACTTGTGTTAGATTCTGCTGTTGCCATCAAGTTCTTTGCTTCTCCCAGAATCTATAAGAGTCCAATATTTATTTCTTCCAGCTCTGTGTTATGAATCAAAAGATGGATTGGAAAATAGCTGAAAATGTTAATGGTTTTATTAGTGAATTGTCCTTCAGCACCTGTGAGGCTTTTTGGTGAGCTGTGTGAAGATGAAGGCGCAGATACAGTGATCCATGCAGGCTCAGGCTTAATTTCTAAGTAAGTCCCAAGCTTTGATTGTGTGTCACTCCATCGTGGTCTTTCTATTATGAATCTACAATGGCAGCTCCCCAGTCTGCCTTCTGAGGAATTCTACAAGCTCTCTACACTGCAAACTTCACTTAGGTCTGTAAGAGAACCTGGCTGATAGACATATTTGTTCAATGTATCCCATGGCATAATTTTTAAATTGTTTCCAGCTCCAGTATTACTACTGTTAATTTTCTCTCCCTCGGTTTCCATAAAATTTATGTCCTTTTTGAAAAAGGAAAATAAACCCAAATGACTAAAACATTCTTATTATTTAAGTTCAAATATTATGACTAGGCTGTTAACTTTGGTTACTGCTAGCAAGAGTAACATTATCCATCTACCCTTCCTCTGCATTGAATTAATGGCCAGGTTTTTATTCATCTTAGCTGATTTTTTTTACTTTTCTCCATGTGTCTATCACTTCAGGAAAATTAATGAGTCAACATTGTACCAGTTCTGGAGCACTGATAAATGAGAAAAATCAGTCAGCTTGTTCAGCTTGTGTCTTTGCATTAAATCAATCTTGAAATAATTTATCCTTCCCACGAGCCTTGCAGATACACAGATCTCATTTATGCAGCTTCTGTGCAACTTTCTTCACAGCTTTCATTTGATTTGCTTATCCATGTGCTTCTGCTACTAATGTTGGATACTGGGCTTAATAGGATGGATGGCAAGTCTTCGTGGTGTTTCAAATACTCTGAGTAAATCAGATCATTAAAATACAGCTTAACCTAATGGATCACCCTGGAGTGTAAAATAAATCCTTCTCTACATTAAAATGAACAGAAATGTGGTTTTTTAGCATCTTCCACAGACTGGAAAATAACTATTTAAGTGTATGTGGAAAAACAGTATGAAATACTATGTTTGACTTATAATTCCCTGAAGCTCAGGTTTTACTCTTCTGTCCACATCTTCCTTTGGGATTTCACTTGAGGGAGGGGCCATTTCTTTGCATGTTGTTTGCACAGTGCTCTGACACATGGTTGGGTGCTCCTTGTTGCACTAATAGGCTCAGTTTTTAATCAGAAACATCATTAAAAATTGGTTTATTATGCAGTATTCCAGTCTAATCAGGTTTATTGATGCCAAAACCTTGGTATCTAAATGTATTAAAGAATGAAAGAGATTTCTGTGCTTTGTACAGCACATTTTAATATTATTGCTTTGTCTGACAGGTGAAATTGTCTCAAAGCTCATTTGTGCCTGGACTGCAAGGGCTGAAGCAGCTCTGGCCCAGGGTCCAGGCTTCCATTCAGTCTGTGCATGTTTTCTTGGCTTCTGTCTCTATTTCATTTTGCAGTAACTGGTGTGTATGTAGAGGGACTGGTGCCAAACTGGCTCTCTGCCTGGCAGAGCACTGGGATGCAGCATGGCCACGTGTCCAAACCTGGGAATGAAGAAGTGTCCCCAGGCTAAGTCAAATGTCAAAGAGACTTGTTCTGAGGAGGACTGACTGGAAGAACATAGGTAAGAATATGATCTGCTAACACTTTACCACATCAGAGTTGTGGTAATTCCAGGAAAAAATGCCATTGTGGATGATTAGGACGCTGCTAAATATGCATTTCAAGCAGAAAATTTAGCATCCTTCAAAATACCTTAAAGATTCTCTATAAATTAACACCTGCAGCAGGTATTTTAAATTAATTTTGTTGCCTACCCCACTGCTCTTTGCCACTTGATGCAGTCCCTGTTCAGCCTTGCATTTTCTGCTCTGTTTGGCTTATCTCTGGCCAAGGCTTTAATCCCCTAATAGCAAACTGAGGTCATATCAGCACTCAAATGCTGCTGTGTTGTGCAGCCACTTTATCAATGTGAGAAGAGCCTGCCTGCCTGACCCTGGGAGCTGCACTACAGGGCTGTACATGTGCCACCAACATGCAGGTCACACTCAACAGCCAGCACCAGGCACCACCCCTGAGACTTCCAGCAGAGCAAATAGAAGTGTCCACATGAAAGGAAGAGCAAGGGCTGGAGCTGCTGCTTCACAGGTTTGAGCATTAGTGCTTCTGCTTGGAAGATAATTATATGTTTTATATACATTGAATGACTGTGCCAGCTGAAGAATAATTTTATCAAAGAAAGAAAGGGTAGCTTAAAAAAAAAATCAATGATAAACAGAAAAGATGAATGCTCACAGTTTTATTAAGCCCCAAACAACTGACTGTAAACATAAGCATGAATAGTTAAGAAAAAACATTAAAAAAACCCCTGAGAGATATAAAGTCTTTGTCTACCACCATGGCTTCCTCCAGGTCTGCCAGCTTGACTCTAAACCAACATCAGGCCTCAAAAGGATTTATAAATCTAGAATGTGAAGTATTGCTTTCTCTAAAAGCTGAAGAAAATATAAAATCAGAATAGAACTCGAAGGCTAAAATACTGAATTTCTTAGTAGTGAGACAGGAAAAAGCCAAACCTGAACAAGTGCTCTGGGCAAGTATTTGATTTCTTTTTTAAAATTCTTTTTCATAAAATGCAATACAAGGTTTAAAAAGTACAGAAATGCTGACTGGAAGGTGTTGGCCAGGTCCCCTTTACAAAGAATATTTCCAGAAAGAATTTCATGGTGCAATCCAATTAGCCTTTCTGTAGCTGCAAAACTCTTCACAAAACCAGCTCCCTAAGTTCATGTGCATTGAGCAGTTCAAGTGAAAATCTGTCAGTGGAACTGAATTAAAACCATAGAGCCAAGGTCTCTCCTGGTATAAATCATGTACATTGCTATAATAAAACAACATACAACAGAAGCAATTCTTCACACCACTGAGTTTTTGGCATGGGAGTTGGGTCCCAGAATCCAAGTCTTACTGCTCCAGCTTCCATATTTCATAATGTGTCAGAAAACCTAAACTACAATATGCTGTAATAATTTTGTGACATTTGAGAATAGAATAAATGTGACGTGGGATCTCAAAAAGCTAAAATAAGTTGGGATTTATCTTATTTTTCTTTTTGAATGGTCTTGGTCATGCTAGTAAATGGCACTTTCTCATGTGTAAAATGAAGTGGAGGTATTGTACCATGTCCTGATTTTACCAGTGGAAGCCTCTTTCTTTTTCCAAAGTCATAAAGTATATGTCAAGCACTCTGAGCAACTCCTTTATGCCTTGCTGGCAGTGCTGCAATTAGTATCACACTGTGTCATATTCCAAGCTCAGTGACTGTTAAATGTGCTATGCCTGCATCACACTAACTACTATATCAGTCATTTCAGATGACCCCCTTGAAAATTGCTGCCAAAAGTTTATATGTCAGGAACCACTTTGAAAATGCTTATGAAGTGAAGAATTTTCACAGCTCTTTACCTACTTAAATACTAAAAACTGTCAGTCAATGAAATCAGGCTCGACAGTTTATATTCCAGGACTCACTGTTCAAAGATTTGCTTGAAAAATTATTCCTATCATCTGTCAGCAAGTGGCTTCTGTGTTTAGTCGGTTGCTCACTTTTATGTTGTAATGCCCACTGGAAGTTGCTACAAAAGACCTGCCAGAACCCTTGGTATTGTTTCTAATATGGGGTGAGCCCGGGACATCTACATCAGCAGTGTCTTCAGTTCCAAGTGATTTCATAAAAATATGATCCAGAGATTTATTTACAGAGCAGTCAACAACTGATAAAACTTTTAGAGAAAGGAGGTGAGGAGTATCTTAAATTTTAAGAATTTGAACTGTCAATTTATCCCATATATCCGCTGCCAAAGGCAAGGTTTGATTTATGGCTGAGTCTCTATTTATTTCTTTTCATTTCCTGGAAAAATATACAGGTGGGACTTAAGTAATATGGCTGAGGTCCAAGCCTAAGCTCACAACATCCATAGGCTAGATTTTATTTTATAAAAGCTGCATAGCCATCAACATAATGCTAAGAGTCAATATCTACAATGAAATGCTATTAATTTAAATCTTTTATTTGTAAATTAACAGCTGTTAGACTGAATGACAAAAGAGCACCAGGACTTTGTGTGCCCCATTGCCAACCTGTACCAAACCTTTTCTCTTCCTTTCCACTTAACACTGAGGAGATTGCTCAGTGGCATTGGGCTTTTTGCTCAGCCTGATCAGGTGAGGGATCTGGGTGTAGGGATTATTCAGAAAGGAAATTTATCTGTTCTGAAGGCTGTCAACAGGACCTACCCAGCAGACCTGCTCAAGGCATAATAAATGTCTGTCCCTATGACTGGGTTCTTCACAAAACAAAGAAAAATTGCCTTACGGTGATCTGTCTTTTACATAGGAGAAGACAAGTTCAGTGCTCTCTTCACTCTCAAAGGATTAATTTCCTTTCACTTACTCTCCATGAAATGACTCCAGGTCAAGTGCAGGACTTTGTGTCCTGTCCCAGGAAGAGGGAAATTCAAACAGAAGAGGAGGATATCTGTGTCCTTGTCTTTTAATCGCTGCTGTGTTTCACATGAAACTCTCACTAGATGGAAAAATAATGATGGGACTGAGAGATGACTGCAGCCTACCCTTTATGTGTTAACTGTAGAGATTTTTATAGCTTTATTATGGATGCTGCTTCATTTTCTAACAAGGCATACTGTCCCTGAAAAAGAGCTAAAAGAGTTTTCTTCCTTGTTTAAAGCTTTTTCTGGCTTGCTTAAAGCTGTATTTTTCTCCTGTGAAATGGGTTTTGTAGATTCAGGAGAATTGGTCAGCCAGCAGGTCATTCTGTCTGGTGCTGCCTTGCCTCCTGCAGAATGGAGATGCAACTTCCAGAGATCCATCCCCACCAAATGCCCTGTGGCAACCAGGAATTTGCCTGCAAAGGATAAACTCTATCACAGAGCTGCCTCTTAATAAGGTATGTCTACATATTCCTTATAAACATCTGTGTGTTTCCAAATGTGTTTAGGTGTATAAATATTTAGGGCTATAACAACATAGGTGTATAAAAATCCCAGCTGTAAATGATGATAAATGAATGCCTAATAGTGTCAGTGGGAAAAATGTTCACTGAATTTCATCGGCATTCAACCAGACCCTTCCCAAGGAAACAAGTTTTTGAGGTTCCCTGCTGGTTACAGGGAAATACAGACCTTGGAGAGGAGCAGAGACAAAAGTGTTTCCAACAGTCTGTTCTTGTTTTTCTGTAGTGTGGTGAGGAGCCTTTTTGCTGTCTGGCCTCACCATTTGAAACACCAAGCCTTTGGAGGGTGTTTAACTTTTGACCTCTAACTTTGTCCTGGTTTTCCTGGGCTGACTGAGCATGTTGCTATCAGGAATACTCTAAAACAAAGGCAAATGGTCTCTCTTGGAGACATTCCTCTACCCTGTAGAGGAATTGCTCTGAGAATGGAGCCCTATGTTAATTATATGAGAATTAGTGGTATCTAATACTCAGTTTAGACACATCTTCCTTGGTGCCATAAATAAGTGTGATCTACTATAACAGGCAAGTGAAAGCATGATTTAGTCAGAAGTAAAATATGTTGCAAGGGAGGGACTACTTTCAAATCCCTTTTACCTATATAACACCAATCTAAAATAAAGGAATGCTAAATAGGGACTCTAAGGGATGTGAGAGTAGGATCTCTTATTGATCTATAGGGACAACACTGCTTGGGAATCCCAGAAACTGCCATGGAAGGCCTGCAACCATGGAATTTACAACAAAGCTTTGAGGTTTAGGTTGCCTGTCAAGAGCATGAAGCAAGTCAGACTAGAATGTTTAATCTTAATAAAACTGGACTCCTTAACCACTTATTGTGGTATCTACCATTGCTGAAGTGATAAACCTCCTTGAGAACACATGAATCATTTTACACTTTGTAGGTGCTTTTCAGAGACTTATGTGCTAAGTGCACAATAGAAATATGTGATGCTTTGTGTTTTGCCCAAAGAACACAGAATGATGATAATTTCAGCATGAGGAACATCACCAGCTCTAATCTTCAGGCTAAAGCAGATGTGTGAGAAAATGCCTTACTAAGATGAATAAAGTAGGTAAGGGGTGCTAAAGAAGAATTTTGCTGAGTAGTATGATCAGTTCTGACACTAATTTTTTCTTGATGAAATTGAATAACATAAATAAGCGAGCCTCAAATAGGCTGGGCTAATATATTAATAGGACCTGTAATATTATTAAAGGTGGTCCTTCATAAACAGAAGTACTATCTAAACAGTATTTATTGCATTGTATTTCTGGCTATGGGGCTACTCTTATCTTTGTTTCTATTTTGATCATACCTCAGTGGGGTTGTCACTGATCCTGACAGACAGTGCAATTCCACTTGTAATTCCTACAGTTATTTGCCATGTCACATTCCTGGATCAGTTTAAAATCCTCCTGCTGCTTCTGGAGTTCGTGCCTGGTGGAGAAACTGGTGACCAGACAGGTGTCTCAAACTATTGTTTAATGTTGGGAGCACAAAACCCTCTATGGGTCGTTTGAACAACAAAAATAACTACATTTGTGATTTAACTTGGATCTGCCCACACCCTGCTGTGGAATTCAGGAATTTGTTGGGTTTTTTATAAACTTGTAGGAGTGATCAGTGAGTTTTATCTGAGCTCAACTTCTCAAGGAATTTCTTAGCAGTTTTTGTTGTCCAGAGAAGGATTTCCTTTCCAAACCAGTTTCAAAGCCTTTGCCTTCTCATTTTCTCAGTGCCTTTCCTCTTTGACAACCTGGTCGGGTGAGTTCAAGCAGGGGTCAGCCCTTGTGTTGCCTCTCAAGTGCTGCTGGATGGGAAGTCATCCGAAGGTGCTGCATTCTTCTCCACTCACAGGAGCCAGCCCTTGGTTAAATTCATGCTTTATATTCACTTACATTCAGCACTTATAATACTTCTGCCTTATTGAGAAATGCCTCTTGAACCCATGTGTTTATCTACTGCTTCTCACAAGCACTGTCAAACCTTGCTATTGCAGTTTAGGTTTTTAACTCCAGGTTTGCATTCTGTCCCAAGAGCTTTCTGTCTCCCAGCAACGTTAGCAGGAGAAAACAATTTTTTACCTCAAATATTCTGTGGTTTAGAGTTTCCCTGACCCTCTTGTAATTCTGGTAATCTGTGGCAGGGTAGGAGGATGCTAATTTCTACAGCACAGTTTGCTAGAATTATCTGTTAATCCCAAAATGTCAGAAGCTTTGTACAGGATAAAAAAAAATATTTCTGTGGTCTGTTTCACATCTAAGTCAGGCTGAATTCTTTACTGAGTGCTGTACTACTCTTTCTTGTAAAGACCCCTGGATACTCTTTCAAAATAAACAAACCAGCCTACTTCTTAACTGTGCCACCCCATATTTTATCTAGAATCATCTTTTGGCCATATCTGGTACCTAAGGCAATATTCAGGATCTTTGTCCATCAGCAAGCACATCCTTTGTCAGTGCTCCTTTAATGATGTAAGCCTTGCAAGGTACAACTGCCCCAGCTGGGCTGGGGCATAGACTGGAGGAGAAGGGAGAAGATCCTTCCAGAAATTACTTTTCAATTGCTGGAGTCCCCAAAAACAGCTTATCTCTTGTTGGTGCCACCCTTAGTTGCAGAGATATCTTTTTGTCCCCTCAGATCTCTATGGCTGCTAAAATTCCAGCCTTGTTAGTCTATTTCCTTTATGCCTTGGCAAATGTTTTGCTAAATATGTTTAAATTTAGTGAATAAATTAGTTATTGTCTGATTACTTCAGTTAGCAGTTTGTTTAGTTGCTGTCTTGTCACAGAAAAGGTTAAATATATTTTTGTGTGGAGCTGGCAATTTATTTCTGACTTATCTTGGTGCAGCATTTTAATTTCCCCTATCTGTAGTTCATGATCTCTTGATACCTCAAGGAGAAAAAATCCTTGTGGATTTTGTTTTGTGTTTTTCCTTTTTTCTCGTATTATTTTGGGGTTTTCTTATTTTTTCCTCCCTCTTTACCTCCCTGCTTTTTCTTTTTTCCTTTTTTTATTCTTATAATTTTCTTAATTTTTGGTTTTGATATTACTTTTCTTTTTCCTGCTCCAGGACTTGAAGGATGTCAGATTTTGTCAGAGGAAAAGAAGGAATGCTCTATACTTACTAGAGAAAAGTACCCTTTTACACTGTCCATCTCTGCAACAGGCAGAACAATTCCTGAAATGCTTTTTTTTTGAGCTTACCTTTTTTAAAGGTGACATCCAGCCATATCAGCAGAGTGCTTAGTCCTCCCTGTGCTTCCCATAGAAACTAGATTTTTAGTGATCCACTCTCTTTTGTCCTGAAGGATGGTGCTCCTTCCCAAGGGCCAAAGGAAACAGGGCCACATGGCTGGCTGGAGTATTTGTGAATTGAAGTCTTCAGTAGTTGAGAACTGAGTGAATTCAAATCCCTTAACACAGGACCAAGTTAACTGAGTTATGCAATAGTATTGCTCCATGTACTTCATAAGGCAGTTTAGTATTGTGCCCTCCCAAATGGAATGTTAAAAAAAAATTTAAATTGATCATAAACCTGAGAAAGAGTTTTACAAAGTGCTTAGCCAGCTCAGCTGTTGCTTGTGATCCTTGCTTCATGCTATAGCTCAAATTTCATTAGGAGCTGCTTTTCATTAAAGTTAAATAATCCCTTAAAATCCTTATAAAATCAGAAGACACACTTGCTTGAACTGTTTTTCTTCCTCTAAAGCACACATTGCACAAATGAAGCTGACTTTCAGTTAATGATTTGCACAGCACTATATAATATGAATGCTTCTGAAATTTATAGCACGCCACGAACTGTTTAATACTCAACAGCTAAACTGCTGTGTTTCCACAGCAAGCTGTAATAACTAAGGGTTTAATACAGAATCTGGTATCTGGACAGTTATTAACATTGTTTTCCTAGTATTTTACTGCCTGCTTGTAAACACTAGTTTATTGAAGTGTATCTACATGGTCATATAAACTGTGAAAAAGGCCACGTTGTTTTCTTTGCCAGAGGTACTGCAGATGTAATGAAAAAGTCCTGACCTTGAACTTAGACATCCAATCCTATATACACAAAAAAGTACATCCTGTCCTACTATTTTGACCCTGTATACCTGTTCAGGCTTTTGACAAACAGCTAGAGGAAGTTGCAGCTCTGGAGATCTGGTTTGTTTGAGTTAGGTTTTTAAACTCTGTAATTCCCTTTAAAGAACTAGGGCTCCCTCCCTTCCCCCCTTATGATCTGTAAAAAGGAGGAAGGACACTTCAATGTTTAGTGTTATTTTTACTGCTGGATCTTGTGCCAGCAGAAATGTGAGGTTTAATTTTATTAGACTGTAGAGATTAAAAATACCGTAAGAATCTCAGTAAATGGTTATGAGTCGATATATTCATGTTTCAAAGTAAGTATCTTCTCTGATCTTATTTAGGTATATTTTAAACTTGTCCTTTTCACTCTTTATCATCTTAGGTTAAGATTTTAGGTAAGGGTTTAGCAGCTGTACAAAACAAAACCAATCAAATTAAAAAATAAAAACAGAAAACAACTGCTGCCTAGGTGTTGACGCCATTGACGTGTAATACTGACTGGCACAAGAAATCACAGGTCATCCAATAGATTCAAAAATTAGGGTGGGATGTTAAGGACTTACCTCCATTTACCTAACTGAGCAAAGCCTAGCTGAATTGTCAGAATCAACCCATATCATCCTCCACAGTGCTGGGGCTTCTTTTGGGAAAGAAATCTACCCAGTTCATCAGGAAGGGGAAAAGTGAAGAAATTAGCAGCTGTTTTGGTAGGGAGGATGTAATAACTCAAGCTGCCAGCTCAGCAGGGTTAAGTCCAGAATCTGTACAAGTAAAAATAACTTTCATGTATTTTTTGTACAGACCTTCACTTTCTAAGGTTAAACTTATATTTCCAGACCTAAAGTCTACAAGAGCTTCCTCTGTAATCCACGGCACGTGTTTCCCTGCTCTCCAGCCAGTATTCTTTGGCTAGATCAGATGTTTCAGAGCCCTGCCATAGATCACTTTGTTCACAAAGGTAAGTACCTGGCAAATGAAGTCAGGTTCTAACCTGGTGAAAGATCCTTCCTTGTTGCTTATTCTCTATAAAATTTGCTGTAATAGGAGAAATTTCTAATTAAATTAGGTCTCCAGCTAACCTCAAACACTGCACAGGTGCTTTATATCTGTCTATATCTATATCTATCTATATCTGTCTATATCTATCTATATCTATACCATCTATATCATCTATATATTTCTGTCAGAATTTTCAATACCTGAGTATTAAAACCTCTTTGATGGGATTTTACATCTAGACATAAACATATCACAGATATGACAGAGAAGGCATTATCCATCTCTGATGCCTTTTGAAAAGTTCAGACACACGAAGGCACTGTTAGTATTTTGGATTAATTGAACCTTGGAGGGGAAAAAAGGAGCAAAACATAGGAGTAAGAAGTAGAACATTATCTTAATAAAAGAGAAAGTTAGAAGACCTACTAGGCTTCTCACTATTTTAATAGACTTCTCATACCAAACATCAGGTGGTGGTCTGTTTTTTTTTTTGTGTGTGTTGATGCCTTTTAGATGGAAAGGAAATTCCAAACAATTCTTACTGGTCTTATTTTTTTTTAATTCTTCTACATTCAAAAAATACACATTCCATTATCAGAAAATAAGTGTAAAAAAAAAAGCCAAAGAATTACCTGTGGAAGAAGAGTGTTATTTTTAGCACTATGGAACTTTACTATTCTTTAAAATGGCAACTGTTTTCTATTTCATTTTAGGATGAGTAGGTATTTTCTACATTTGCAGGTAGAATAGATAGTTCCTTTGCTGTCTCTTTTACTGCTAGGTTTGATTCATCAACTTGTACATGAAAAAAATGAGCACAGAATGATTGCCTGATTGAGCCTGCAGCTTTAAGTCTGGTGAGTGTATCTATCACTCATTCTGAGTTTATACCAAATACAGATACCAGAGGAACTGTAACTAAAAGAGTAAAAATGATGCAGCAAAGACACAGAGCACTGCATTCACTAGTCAATAGCCCTGTTGCCTTTTACCCTTTAGAATGACATTTAAAAAGTCCTAACAAGGTCTAAAAGGGCTTCAGTACATCTGTTTGGTTGGGTTGGTTTTTTTGGGTTTTTTTTGAGTAAAGCATAGAAGTGTGAGATAACAAAGTTTAAATGAAACATGAGAAGGCAGGATGTGATTCTTTTTAGTGAACTTTTTTTCCTTCAAGATTCTCCTCCTTGGATAAACTGATTGGCTGGTACATAAATGTATTATAAATATACATAAATGGTACATAAATATATCTCTATAGATAGATAGATATTTATAGATTTTTTTTCCTATTATGTAGCAGGAGATATGTTTCAAGACCAGGTATTTTTTTCTCTATATTCCAGCATGACATGGGGTCTCCCATGCACATATGAAAGAACGCAGAGAGGCTTTGAGCAAAATCCAAGTATTTTAGCACTCCTCAGCTGCTCTCCAGCACTGCAGCTCATTTCCCTTTACTCTCAGATGCCCATTCCATAAATGTACAGCCAAAACCTTATTGATTTTTTTTTTTTTGTGAAGTCTGCTCTTGCTCCAACAGAATTGTAAGAACAGTGGCCAAAGTTCTGATAGCTCTATCACATCTTTTAACACAGAGTTGAATTTTGCAAACCTTGGTTTTTCCAGCCTAAGGTACGATTAAATAGCCATGCCATTTTAAAATTACTGAACTAGGACTTAAATGAATGTAGCTTAATACCTGAGATATGTTTTCTGACATCCTGGACTTAGGGTAAGTAATTCTGTGCTTTTAGTAGGCTGGTTTGATGGCATCATCTGGCATAAATGGGCTAATTTGTATTTCTAAATTAAAATTCCAGGTATGCTGGTGTTTTCTTCAGCACACATATATTTAATGCAGAAAAGTACTGGTAGGGGTTTCATTAACATAAATGACAATTGCACATGAAGAATTAGAGCCTGCTGTCAAGGTAAAGACAGTACTGCAGGGAGAAATCTTTTTCTAACCTACCTGTATAGGATTAATGTTCAAAAACCTATCATAATTATCTTCACTATGAACTTGTTTTTCAGATCAGCATTTTATTTTAAAAAAATACAGGCATGCACAAAAAATAAATCCAAGCAAAATATGCAAAATATGTATTATTATGGCTCATTAGTGCTTGATTCCCCTTCTTAAATACAGAAGTTGCCATCATCCTGCTTCTGAGATCCAAAAGGAGTTTGGGCAGGAAAGAGAGAAAGTAGGAACAGAGTAGTCTGTGAAAGACTCAGAATCTCATTGATCACTCCTGTGGACCATCATTTACATTTCAAACCTGAGAGCTTAAAACCTTAACACATATAAGAAAATCTGTGTTTCTTGCTGCTTCACCACGGGTGCCAAATTTGCACATCCCCCAAGACAGTCGGGGTCAGATCACACCACTTGTTCTTGAGCTGTCCATTTGAAACACTCCAATCCTGTATGGAAATGGTGTGTTCTTGCTCTGTGCAGTGTACACGACCCCCCGTGCTCACCAGGAATGGCAAAGTGGCCACAGCAGGTTCCCCTTTGCTCAAGCCCCAGCCCTTGTATCACTTCTTATTGCTGATTCTCAGCTTTAGCCTTGAGCCTTGTCATCAGGTACAAAGGATATTTCTTGACTGACAAATCCATCTGTAGCTGTTAGGGAGTAAAAATGATGTTAACTAGCAAAAGAAGGTATTTAAAACTACTGTAGCACATGTGCTGACATGGAAAAGTTACTTGTAGTTTTTTCTTTCTTGCCTAGTTATTGTTTTTAAAGCTCTTGTAATTAATAAAAAGGTACTACACTAACATTTTTTAAGACCAAGACTTCTCATGACTTTGCTATTATGTCTAAAAAGAAGTTGGATCTTGCTGGCTGATGATTTCTTCACTGTCAAGAAAGTCTAACCTTCAAGAGAGAAGGTTAAACTTAGCACAGATGCATATATATAAATTTTGGGTGGAGGAATATAAACCTTTAACAGAGCATTCCTCAGTCTACTAAGAGAAAAATATGTGAAAACAGACCCCCAAAAAATTATGAAATCCTCATTCACCTATGCTAGCATGGATTTCTGTGTTATCTTGGAAGCATATGAAAGAATAAGGGGTCCTAAATTCTATTTGTGTTTATTTGCATTGAACGAATGTATAACCACATGAACTAATGTATGAAAATTAAAAGGATACATAAGTCCAGGCCAATGAAGCCACAAAAGTGGACCTGAGTTTTATGCATCTGCACTTTTAATTTTATTTTTCATGTCACCATTTTCAAGATGAAAAAAATGTTGTACAACGTAAAATTAAATATCCCCAAATACTTAGCTGCATTAGCACTCCTAAAGGTGTCTCTCTGAATAGAAATATAATAAATTATCAAGGCACCACTGTGTGCTTGAGCTACCTATTTTCTGATAATCTACAAAATAATTCAGTAAAATAAATATTATGAAGTAGTTTAATATCTCTAATATATTTATTACATTATACATTTTTTTCTAGACTGTTCCTGTTGTCTTTTGGCTTAATATTTTCTTGAAGGTTGAAAGGACAAGAAAAACTATACTGTAAATCTGTTGGCTCTTACTTGATAAATTATAGCAAACTTTTGGTCTTTTGATCTTGAAACAACATAACCTAAAAGCCTTTTCCTTTTGGCTGGAATCCCAGATTCCAAATGTCATTCAAAGGATACATTTTCATGGTAAACTATTTGATACTCTACATCCTTGTAAAAATTTGTATTTTTTGCTATTTTGTTCTTTATATTGATGCTTTCCATGAGCTTTCTCATATTTAACTTCAGTTATTTAATTAGGGTTATATAAGATTGGATATTTTAAATAAAAGATTTTTTTTTTTCCAAAAAAACGAATACCAGAACTTAGAGAACGTGAAATTTAAAGTGGAAATCAATCTTTCTCAATTGTTAGATGAAACTAAATAATTTGAAATCAAACATGTGCCACTGTACTATATTTGAGAAGAGAGATGGACATTTGAGGGAATGAAGGGAGAAACAGGAATTAGTATTAGAAAAGCTATCTTGGTCAAGTTTACTTGAGTAGAGATACATAACTGAAAGAGATTTTAATTTCCTTTTTTCTCTATGGCTTATTATCCACATCTAATTGTTTTTTTTAAACACTAATTTTACAGTTGGAGACAAATCAAATTTATTTCACAACAGTGGAACACATACTGTGGAAAAATAGTGAAGATACTTGGTGGTGTATACATATAAAAAATTATTAAATCCTTGTCATCCAGTATGTCATTACATGTAAGTCAAGAAAATATTTGACTTCAGTAACTTTAATTTAATGGGAAGAGTAGGAAATTGATTTACTACAAATTGTGTTAATATTACTGCATAATACAGCCTTGCAAAATTATCATGAAAATTTACTGGTGTGGATGCAATTATTTATTTCTTTGCCTTCTTTTTCTCAGTAATCCATCATGGTGGTGAATTAATAATTCTTTTTTCACTGTATTGCATAATATTATTCATTTCAGCAAGTTGAATGAGCAAAAATTTGCTAAACTGCTAGACTATAAATACATATTTCCATAAACTTGTCTTTTGTAAATAAGTTGTGTGTTGTAACTCTGTAGCTTTCTTGTGTGTTGGGGATGTAATCAACATTGAAATTGTAACAGAATGCAGGAGGGTTATGTAAAATTACAGTTGTAAATGGCACAAACTTTTTTTGTTTGTTTATTTTTTAATTTTAGGAACCTTACAGGCATAGAATTAATATTAACCACATGACAGGGCATGTAACACTTGCTGGGCTTATATTGTAGAGCAATATCTTTAGTGTTTTAACAACAGATTTGTAGCATTTTTCTCATGAATTAAATGATTGTATTTAAGCTCCAGGTCCTATCAGTGGTGCAGTGCTAATGATTTGCTCATCTCTCTCCATGGATGCTTGTACAAGGGGGTCTGGGACTAACAGGTGGGTCTGGATTTC